GAAACCAGCCCGGGATCCCCGGCACACCCCCGCCCCCTCCGGTGCATCTCCCGGGCTCTCCCCGGTGACCTCACGGGATCCCGACCGGGAGCGCTCCCCGGATCCCCGGGAATCTCCCCGCTTCCCCCATCGGGAGCCCCGGGATCCCCTGGTGTCCTCGAGGACCCCCGGGACCTCCGGTAACCCCTCAGGGCATCTCCCGGGAGCCCCGGGACCCTCTGGAGACCCCCGTTATCCCTCCCGATACGTCCGTGAGCCTTCGGGAGCTCTCCCGGGACCCTCGGGACATCCCGGTGACCTTTCGGGACCTCCCCCCAGCACCGTCCGGGGTCCCGTCCGGTGGTGCCCGGTACCGGAGCGATGGGAACTTCTCCCCGGAGGATTCCCGGGACCGGGGCAAAGCGACCCCCACTTCCCCCCTCACCGGTGTCACCGGGACCGGGCTGAGGAGCTCGGCGGGGTCCCGGTGGTGGGTGGTGACACACCGGGGGTGGGGACGGTCCCGGTACCGGAGTGCGGGGACCACCGGCCCCGAACCCCGCACTCCCTGGGGGGCCCGGGACGGGGCTCCGGAGGGTCCCGGTCCCTTTCCAGCACCGGGACTGACACCGGAAGCTGATGTCACCGGCGGGAACCGGCGCTGAGTCACGGCGGGAGCACGGGGACCGGAGGGGGGAGCGGTTCCCACGCCCTTGGGGTCATTCATTCATTCATTCATTCATTCATGCAGGCCCCGCCCCCTCCGGTGTCCCCGTCCGGTGTTCCCGCCGGCAGCGGGCACGTCACGGTTCGGGAGTCCCGGCCGGGCTGTCCCAGGGTCCCGTTCCCGGTGTCCCGGTGTCCTGTTCGGGCTCCCTACGGTGCCCCTGAGTCCCGGTCCCGGTGTCCCGGTCCCGGTCCCGGTGTCCTGTTCGGGCTCCCTACGGTGCCCCTGAGTCCCGGTCCCGGTGTCCCGGTGCCGGTGTCCCAGCGAGGCTCTCAGGAGGTCCCGGGGGTCCCGTTCTCAATGTCCCGGGGTCCCGGCCGGGCTCTCGGACCGTTCCAGGCCCCGTTCCCGGTGTCACGGGAGTCCCAACCGGGCTCTCGGGGGGTTCCCAACCCCATTACCGGGGTCCTGGGGGTCTCGGCCCCGTTCCCGGGGGTCCCGACTGGGCTCTCGGGGGATTCCCAGCCCCGTTCCCGGGGTCCTGGGGGTCCCGGCCCCGTTCCCGGGGGTCCCGGCCGGGCTCTCGGGGGGGTTCCCAGCCCCATTACCGGGGTCCTGGGGGTCCCAGCCCCGTTACCGGGTGTCTCCGCCGGGCTCTCGGACTGTTCCAAGCCCCGTTCCCGGTGTCCCGGGGGTCCCGGCCGGGGTCTCGGGGGGTTCCCAGCCCCGCTCCCGGGGGTCCCGGCCGGGGTCTCGGGGGGTTCCCAGCCCCGCTCCCGGGGGTCCCGGCCGGGGTCTCGGGGGGTTCCCAGCCCCGCTCCCGGGGGTCCCGGCCGGGCTCTCGGGAGTTCCCAGCCCCGCTCCCGGGGGTCCCGGCCGGGCTCTCGGGAGTTCCCCGCCCCTCTCGCCGTGGCCCCGTCCCGTCCCGGTAAACACTGCGCGGGTCGCCCCGGTTACGGCGTTCCCCGGCGCTGACGTCACCACGTCCGGCGTCCCGTGTTTACGTCGCGCGGCAACGGCCGTGACCATGGCAACGGGGGCGGGGCAGGGGCGAGGCCTCGCCAATGAGGGCCGGGAGAGGGCGGGGCCAAAACGGAGGGGGCGGGGCTTGAACCTCCGGGTTCTCGCGCATTTCGCGGAGCGGGGACACACGGGGGACATTGGGGGACACCGGGGGACAGGGGGACACTGGGGACACAGGGGGGACATTGGGGACACGGGGGGACATTG